GAAGACATCCCATACGGTCCCTTTCAAACGCATGATTCCATCCTGTCAGGAATTCACAGAAAACTCACTGACATTTTGAAAAGCAATCCTAAATACAGAAAGGACATAACATCTGTCCCACTTCATTTCAAAAGCTTATAGAGGGCAACAATATCCACAAGAGCAAATTAAATCTGTTGAACTACAACAACATCTCTCATATATAATTATGTTTTGGTCATGGACTCTCCTGAACATTCCACACGGCGCCCACAGCCCTTGGCTCCATGATCTGTCACTATTGCCTGGGTCTCACCTCCAATATTCTAAACAGTTTGCTGTTGCTCTCCCCCCAATAGCCAGTTGGAACACAGAGGTCATTTGCATATGCGGCCTGACTGGCCTTTGCCGCTAACATTCTAAATAGTTTGCTGTTGCTGTGAGAGTCACTGAATATGTCCTGAGGTAAAATAAATGCCCCAAAATCCCTGTGGGGCCTGGAGATCTCCCAAAAATCACTGTGTTCCCCAGCCACAGCACATCATTTCCCCTACAGAAAATTTCCCAGCTATTACAACTGATGTCCAGATCACCAAGATCAGTTCTCCTGGAGACAATGGCTTCTTTGGGCAGTGGACTCTATGGCATTATACCCTGCTGAAGTCCCTCCCCATCCCAAACCCTGCCCTCCCCAGGCTCTACCCCTCAAATCTACAGGTATTTCCCAACCCAAAGTTGGCAACCATGTAATTTGCTATGGAACCACTTTCCAGACTCTGGGAACCCAGAAAACATGGCATAAGAGGATGTGCTTTTCTACCTTAGCTGCCACTGCATAGCCCCAAAGTAACATAAGCCAACCTCCAGGCAGCACCTGGAGATCTCCAGCTATTGAAACTGATGTCCAGATGACCAAGATCAGTTCTCCTTGAGACAATGGCTGCTTTGGGCAGTGGACTCTATGGCATTATACCCTGCTGAGATCCCTCCTCACCCCAAACCCTGCCCTCCCCAGGCTCTACTCCTCAAACCTACAGGTATTTCCCAACCCAGAGTTGTCAATCCTGTAACTGGCTATGGAACTGTTTTCCAGACTTTGGGAGCCCAGAAGACATGGCATAGGAGGATGTGCTTTTCTACGTTAGCTGCCACTACATAGCCCCAAATTAACATAAACCGACCTCCAGGCAGCACCTGGAGATCTCCAGCTATTACAACTGATGTCCAGATAACCAAGATCAGTTCTCCTGGAGACAATGGCTACTTTGGCCAGTGGACTTTATGGCATTATACCCTGCTGAGGTCCCTCCCCACCTCTTCCCTCCCCAGGCTCTATCCCTCAAATCTACAGGTATTTCCCAACCCAGAGTTGGTAACCCTGTAACTGGCTATGGAACCGCTTTCCATACCCTTGGAACCCAGAAGACATGGCACAGGAGGAGGTGGTTTTCTACCTTAGCTGCCACTGTATAGCTCCAAATCAACATAAGTCAGGGGTGGAGGGAACCATACCTGTTACCATGAGGCTGTCCTACCATACTACCCACTTTGGGCAGCAAAATGACTTGAGACAGCCCTGCCTTATAGCTAAGCAGAAGGAAATAAACATGGCTTGCCTCCCTCTATTTTCCCTTTCCCTCTGCTGCCCCACCAGCCACAGCTGGGACACTCATCTGGAGCTTCCTTCTAGAGCTCGTTGTATTTCTTCCCATAACAGGCCTTACTCCTAGTCTTTAATAAACACCGTCTAGCTCAATTTCCTGTACGGTACTCTGTGTTGACTCTTAGAAATATTCAGTACATCTGAGGGCTGGTGTGGTGTAGTGGTTAGAGTGTAGGACTATGATCTGGGATGACCATGTATAAATCCCTCACTCAGCCATGGAAGCCCACCAGGTGACCTTGGACTTGTAACAATCTCTCAGCCAATGTTCCCTCTAAGCTGTGGAGTCTTGTGAGCAAAAATTCTTCTTTGTGAGCTGCTGGCATTAAAGTTGTGAGTGAGCAATTTGGCTGCTGCATAAATTAGTGTGCTCTGGAGCCATCCTTCCTGAGCTGAGACAAAAATGTGTGAGCCGGAGGCTAAAAAACTGTGAGCTAGCTCACACTAACTCAGCTTAGAGGGAACAGTGCTCTCAGCCTAACCTACCCTCACAAGGTTGTTGTTGTGATGAGAAAATGATATGAAAAGCTGCTATACTGAAATTGTAATGACAGAGATATTTTTTTTACCTGGTTTCCTCCCATGCCATGACAGTTGAATATTCCAACCTTTTCATTTTCTTTGCGCCCCATGTTATCCAAGCACTGATTGGTCTCAACATTTCTGATCTAGGGGGAAATAAATAAAGACAGCCAGGAAAATCAAATTATAAAAATGGTTAAAGATTTAGTAAAACAAAACTAGCAATACAGATGGCAATGGACTGATTTGATTGATTGATTGATTGACTGATTGATATGCTGCCTCTCCAGAGGCCTCCTCAAAGTGACTTACAAATAAAAGCACTGTAAATTACCAACATATGAAAAATATTTTTTTTAAATTGCCATTTAAAAAACCAAGCCATATTTTGAAAGAAAGAAAAAACCAAGATTGTACACAGTCCTGAAATGATGGAGGTTACATGTCTTCATGTACAAAAGGAATCACATTTAGGACATATACTGGAAAACATATTCTGGATCAACTATGTGGTACCACTTTACCATGGTATCAATATCTTCAACTAAAGCACTTATTAGATTCTGTTCCATTTCATAACATCAACAAAAAGCCACTTTCAGCTTTTGAAAATCTTCTCACAAATGGCAACACCGCACATAGAGGTTTAATCTCAACCATTTACAATTTACTAATTCAAAATGAAAATTCTGAACTGTTTACATATCAAAAAAGATGGGAGCAAGACTGTAAAACTAAATTTACAGAAAAACAATGGCATAATATTTGGAACTCCTTTCCTCTTCAGGCAAAGGCTATAAATATCAAAATGCAATCTTTTAAGATTCTCACTCGCTGCTACTGGTCCACCCCTTCAGCTACATCACAACTCCACTCTAAGTCCTAAATGCTGTTGGTGGGAATGTAAATATATAGCTCAATTTTGGGACTCAGACATTTTTAAAATAACAGGGATATTTCTCCCAAAGCAACCAGATTTTTGTTTGTTATTATTATGGCCCAAGGGTAATTTCCCTCAGTCAATTAAAACCTTAATAGAATTTCTTTTAGCTGCAGCAAGGGCTGCTATAGCTACAAAATGGAAAAATAGATTACCCACTTTGGTTTACCACCATCTGGAGATTTTATGTTATGGAAAAAATCTCTTATCATAATCACCAGAATGTATCCTCTGACTTTAATTCTAACTTTCCTGCAGTTTGGCTACCAATGTTATCTTAGATGGTATCGATAGGAGAAGTTGACCTGTTACAGTTGTAATTGATTTGTTATATTCAAGTTACATAGTGTACCTTTTAATGTTATTGCTACATATTTTAATGTTTCTCAGTTTTATTTGTTATGTTTTGGTTGTATAGTTGCACTTTTACTATGACATGCTGTATTTATGTTTTGTTGTTTATAATTTAGTTATTAAAAAAAGGAATCACATTTATTTATTTCTATTTATTTCTTTACTTTCAATTTATATTCCGCCTTGCTGGTGCAAACTGGCTCAAGGTGGCTTACACAAGTTAAAATGCAGTAAAACCAATAAATACAATAAAATTACAATAAGAAAAATTACATAAAACGCTCATATAAACCGATGGTCCGATGGGGAGAGGCCATGTCCGGCATTGTTACGTAGGGCTGTAGTATGTTCAGTTTTACAAAGGTTCTCAGTGGTGGCTCCTAATCGAAGGCCTGGTGGAAGAGCTCTGTTTTACAGGCCCTGTGGAACCTGATGTCCTCCAGGAGCTCATTCCACCAGTGTGGAGCCACCACTGAACAAGCTCCAGCCCTTGTAATGGCCAATCTGGCATATTTCGGGCAGGGAGAGTCAGGCGATTTTGTGTTCCTGACCTCAGTGCTCTCTGGGGCACATATGGGGAAAGGCAGTCCCTCAGGTAGGCAGGCCCCCGACCATATAGAGCTTTAAGGGTCAAAGCCAGCACCCTGAACTGGTATGCTGTTGGCAGCCAGTGCAATGCCTTCAGCACAGGCTGGATGTGATCTTGTATGAAGACACACATCAACAACCTGGCTGCCGCATTTTGCACCAGCTGCAGCTTCTGGATTTGGGGCAAGGGCAGCCCCATGTAGAGAGCGTTACAATAGTCTAACCTCGAGGTGACCATAGCATGGATCACTATTGCCAGGTCATTGCGTTAGAGGAAGGGAACCAACTGCCTAATCAGCCACAGATGATAAAAGGCTGACATGGCAGTGGCTGCTACCTGGGCCTCCATTGTTAAGGAGGCATCCAGGAGCACTCCCAGACTCCTGACCCTCGGCGCTGGCACCAATGGCGCCCCATCGAAGGTTGGTAGTGGGATCCCTACCCCTGAACTGCTCCGACTCGGGCACAGGACCTCCGTCTTTGTTGGATTCAATTTCAATTGGCTCAGGCTAAGCCAGTCCGCCATGTCTTGAAGCGCCCGCTCCAGTTCATCTGGGGTAGAGTTAGACTGACCGCCCAACAACACATATAGCTGGGTGTCATCTGCGTATTGGTGACACCCAAGCCTGTGCCTCCGGGCAATCTGGGCAAGGGGGCACATGTAGATGTTGAATAAGATGGTCATTTAAGGCCATCATGTCCAGACACAAGTAAAGATTTGCTTTGAGAAAATGAGTTTGTAACCACAGATGTAGGCTAATTTTAATATGATTTTTGCAAAGAAAATTCAGTTAACTTCAGTAGTTTGCTCTCACCCAGTGATACAAGGAGATACAAGATCACTCTCCTGAAGAAAGGCTCCAAAAGACAAGGGAGACACTAGTATTGCAAATACAAAACAATTAGTGCACCTGTATTATCTGAATGGATTTTTTTTCCCAGAGGAGGACCTTGTATGTACGAACATATGAAATAAATATATGTTGTTGGAGAACACTGTGTTACAACTATTAAGTTAAATCAGAGGTTGTAAACCTTTTGAACCTCTTTAATGAAGGGTAAGGGGGAGAGATTATTTTGGGCATAGTGGTCATGGTGGCACTGCATTTTTCCTCCCGTGAGTTTAGAAGAGAAAAGTCATGCCCATGATGTTCTAGCAACTGAGAGGTTTCTCCTTCCCTGCCAAATGCATGTAGCCTCTTCTTGGTTGGTAGTTAACATTCCCAGGAGGAATACTTGCAAAATACATCCAGAATCTAGAACAGGGAAGGACAATGTGGGCCAGGACACCCTTGCAAGCTGTTTCTTCCTTGCTGGCATCTTGCTCTTGGTCAAATGATATCACCCCAGAGGTGTCCTCCATTTGTCCACAGGCCAGACCATGTGTTACTTTTTGCCAAATGGCTAGACATTTCTGCAACAAGTATAGTTTCTTACGCGGACCCTGGCATTGTGAGGAAAGTTCCCACAACAGTGATGCATGCTTCGGAAATATCTAGTACTGGTATGGACAAGAAGAACATCATGGCATGATATGGATAGTCAGATGGAAAAACCCGTTATTTGGAAATGGCAAGTTATGAAGGCTGAGTTGTCCCTAGAAGAATGGGTTGCCCCCTCCCACTTAGATGTTCAAGAGATGTCAGTCCTACTGTCAACCCAATCCTACATAGTTTAGCTTTCGTTGCTGTGGTGCAAACAGCAGCTCATGCTATAGCAGCTGCAGCTCCACTCATTATTTAGAATCATAGAATCACAGAGTTTGAAGGGGCCATACAGGCCATTCTAGTCCAACCCCCTGCTCTGTGCAGGATCAGCCTAAAGCACCCCTGACAAATGTTTGTCCAGCTGCTGCTTAAAGACTATTAGTCAGGGGAGCTCGCCACCTCCCTAGGTAGCTTTCACTGTTGAACAGCTCTTACTGTAAAAATGATTCCCCTAATAGCCAGCCAGTACCTTCCCGCCCTTAATTTAAACCCATTATTGCAAGGCCTATCCTTTGCTGCAAACAGGAACAGCTCCCTTCCATCCTCTAAGTGACAGCCCTTCAAATACCTCCTGTTCTCCAGACTGAACATTCCCAAGTCCCTCAGCCTTTCCTCACAGGCCTTGGTCTCCAGGCTCCAGGCCCCCAATCATCCTCATCACTCTCCTCTGTACCTGCTCCATTCTGTCCACACCCTTTTTGAAGTGAGGTCTCCAGAACTGCACACAATATTCCACAGCTTGA